ATCCTGCCAGTTGTGTCGTTGACCTGTAAGATCAGATAACGAGGAAAGCGAATTCACCTCAGTAAAGTAAAATTAATATAATCTCTATTTATTAATGTTTTAAATCAAAATATTTATGTGGCCAACATTAGCGAGTGAATGCTGGATGTTTCCTCCATTAATTGATAACTGTTGACCCTTGTTAAACTGTCAAAAGGAATCGTCCAAATGTAACTGTATGGGGCAGTTTAGACCACTGTAAAGGAAAAAACAACCATATGATTCTTTTTGAGAACTAGTATGACAGCTTGGTAATAAGTCCCACAAAGGCTGATGTAAAACAATTCCGTAAACTAAAAAACCCAAATTATAAATTTTTTCAGGCCATTGACTCTTGAAATGTAAACCTTGTATTAATTCCAGGACCTTTAAGGACCAGGCAGATACCTTGACCATTACAGTATTGATCACGGGAACACAAGGACCTTTAAGGACCAGGCACATACCTTGACCATTACAGTATTGATCACGGGAACACAAGGACCTTTAAGGACCAGGCACATACCTTGACCATTACAGTATTGATCACGGGAACACAATGTACGAAAACGCCCATATTAGGTATTTTGGGATATATAATGAACTATGTCCGTACTAAGTTCATCTTAATTCGTCTTACCCCTTTGAGTCCTGAAGGTTAAATCATCGTCCTCAAAGAATTAAAATAGTAAAACCGAACAACACAAGATAGTAATGTTTGCGGTGTTTGACCTCAACCCTAAAAAAACAAATTAAAAACAAAGGTACATCCTGTGTAAGCAGCGTCCTGCTGACGAATGATAATGGGAACTGGAAAAAATAGCGTTTTGTTGTTTTTTGTATTATTTAGTCCCTCTCACTGTTATTTACTGTCGCTTAGTAACCTAACCTAACCTAACCTAACCTCGTCCCCGACACGTGGCTATTTCAGGCAAAATATAGACAACCAACGAATATTTTGTTCACAGAAAAATATCATTAAAAAAATACAGCCATGTGCCGGGCATTTATGTTCCGAAAAAATACTCTACGAGTATATTAAAAAGGTGCACTAATGAACTGTATCATAATAATGGCAAAGATAAAGTATCATAAACCTGTTGAATAATAAAACAAAAACGAGTTGTCAGACGAAATGGTCACGGGTTTATGTGCTAAATGTTCATGTCTACTGGGACGTGTAACACATGTAATGAAGATGAATTATTTAAAAGTCAGATAGTTTACGTGTGTTCCGAGAAGAGCACATCATGGAGAAGCGATCACAGTATGGTGACAGACACACACTACACCATGTAACCTCTCCCGGGTACAGAGGGACATTGCGTAAAATCCTCGCTCTTACACAATGCCTCGCTTGGCTCTCTCCTCTCTATCGCAGTCTATTATATCTCTCTCTGGCTTTTCTATGGACCACTTAGTAGCTAAGGGTCTCAGGAGCATGGGCGTCGTGGCCAGCTTAAATATAGCGAGGTGACTCCGCCCACGGATGTTGAGGAGGATGTCAGCGGCCAGCTCGCTGTTTTGATCATCAGGAAATTCCAACTGTTTTGTGCTGTATTCTGGCTACTTTTTGTTCTTTGCATTTATAAATACTACGATTATTAGCTATCTTACGTCTCGCGACTTTGTTAACCTAAATAGGGATAATCACCGATTAAACCTTAAAAAGCAACTGAAGTTTTCGCCAAATAGGGATAACTTTTTGTCCTTATTGATATAACTCAATGGAAATTAATTTGCATCTGGTAAAATTTTCTGTTTCATTTAATGCGCATTTACTATCATAATTTTGCTAAATTATACCTAAAGGTTAGGTTAGGATAGGTTTTCTACGAAACTCTTCATTTATATTTACTTTTATTATGTACATTGTTTATAGCCAGTCACGATGGCGGGCAGAGCAGCGCAGCGTATCTCCAGAACCCTGGACCCACGAAGCTCCAATATCAGGGCTTATCGCCAGTCTAATAAATATTCACCTTAAAGTTTAGCCTTAATTTTAACATATGGCCGCCTCCATTACTGTTTATATTAGTTCGAAACTTTACTAAATTTTATATTTTTTTAACTTCACATTAATTTGAATGTTGCTCTGTAGTTGGTTGTGGAGGAGAATACCGACCAAGTACGTAGTTTGATGTGGTATACACTTTGCTTACGGCCTGTGCAACAATCTTAAATGACTACAAATCGACTCAAGTCTGTGGCAAAATTTAATTTCATATTTAATTCAAAAACCGATTCACTCGAAGACGGAATACGAAAGCTTTACTCAAGACAATTGTGAAAAAAAATAGTGAAGGTGGTGAGGGAACACGAAGGAGGAGCTCAGGAAGTAGTAGTAGTAGTTTATTGACAAAAGTATAAATACATGGTAAATATACACAAAGAATTCAAAAAACATTTGTCCAACAAAATATTTTAAATCAAAACATAACATGTAAGGGGCAATTTCAAACTTAACTATATATTCCTAGTACCTCATGTTCATTATTATATAATTCAGGCACATATACATTTTCATTTAAGAGTTCACTGATACTGGAGAAAGTCAGCATATGATACCTTTCACGACAATGTGCAGAGAGTGGACAATCGATCAGCACATGTCGTTCACTTTGTACACAACTGTCGTCGCACTGAAATACTCTCAACTCTTCTGGTGTGCGACTCCACCTGCCTGTCTCTACTTTAAGGGTGTGTGACATATTATGTCGTCATCGAGGAGTCTTGGTATGTAACCCTAGTGAGTGAAAATATACTGGATACGTCAATCCTTGAATTGCCCTTATCAATGAGACTTCCAGTTTCAAAAGCACATTAATTTTAAGCTGTGATGGTGATGCAGTCAACCCTGGAGGTAGAATGAATTTGTCTTCACATTTGTTTATATTCATCAGTACTTTACACGTTAATGGTCAGCTTTTCCACCACGCCTCTGATGAAGAAGAGGGAAAAACAAATGGACCAATTGCCCAAGACGCCACAATAATATTTATTTCATAAAAAATACAATTATTTCATGATACCTAATTGGGAAAGTTATCTAAGATCTCAATTGGAAGTTTGTTGACTCTAAAACCAGATTTTATTTTTAAATATAAAGCTGACAAAGATGGAATTGATTCAACAGGATTAGTCATAAGACCTTAATGGAAGACAACTCACAGACGCCAGCAGAACAATGAGACTGTTTTGTGGACAGTAAATCGATAACGATATCTACTGGAACTTGTTTCCATTATCGTAAAATTTCATGTTCTAGATATATTTTATTACAAATTTCAGGCAAATTGAAAGGATAGCACTAAAGACTTCCACTTTTTTGTGAAAATTCTTGTTATGAAACAAATTCTCAACGGGATGCTCTTTATGGTAAATCAAAATAAATATTTTATGGACAACAGCTGGCGGTAAAATGAAAACAATAACCAAGTAACATATTCCAAAACATTGATTAGAAATTTGCTGAAAAAATAACATGGATAAGTTAAAATTCCAGACTTCAAATAGTCCGCACTTCTCTCAAAGTTTACATAACAAATATGCACAAGTTTCCACATCAAACTATATATTATACAACATGTCATTACTATGTCATCCCAGTAAATGTTCAGAGACCTAGTAACTTCTTTTATGTTCGTCATTATTAACTTAAACTTCTTATGTCAGTGATTTTAGACGAGCGATACTGAATATTATGATTGAGGTAGCAATGCTATATAAAACGTACTTGCCTTTTATAGAGTATTTCACCACTTATGATGCAACTATGATATGAACAAGAACTTGACATTAGGTGGCAGTGATGAAACAGTAAATAATTAATTAACTTTCGGTACAGTACACAAGGAGGCAAGCCACTGTACTCTACTAGTCCAATTTCACTTCCTTGGTGTTAAAGTCATGTGTGAACCGGTAACTAACACTTAGAATAAGTGATGAGTGTTGTATGCACTCAGCCACCACAACCAAACTATCTGTGCCGGGAATGTATATAAGTCTGACCATATGTGGCGTCTGTTTACCTCGAGGTGATACACGGTATTACCTGTAAAATGTCTCGCATTTTCCTTCTTTGTTTGTTATGGATATAATAGTTTTTATTTTGATTTCATATTTTATATTTACGTAAATTATATGAACTTACACAAAAATAACGATTGTCATTATTATTATGAAACACAATGTTATTATTTATTTATTTATTTATTTATTTATTTAATCTATATTTGTAGATTTACTCGAATCATTCCATTTCTTCAAATTTTTAAATTTCTCTTACATTTCCAGAAGGAAACCACCTGAACCTCAGTACTGTGAGCACCACAACCGGGCGAGACAGCTTGCTGGGAGAGCCTGATTTAGTGTTATATTTGTAATTCAGTTAATATCCCACTCGGGTGATTTCCTTTGTAAGAAATTATCTCCTTAGATTTTACGAAAGAGTGACATTCTGTCGAGTTTATGTTACTGTTACCATCTGAGGTTCCTTATGCGTTTGTTTTTCTTCACATTTTCCACTTGTGATCTTAGGAAAAAGATAACACAGGTGGTGAGTATAGTGTTATTACCACCACCAACCAGAGTTAATGAAACAGGTGCGTTCTTTGTCGCCATAATATCATGGTTTTACTGAAACTGATTTATGAATCTGTCAATGTCACCAAATAAAAGTGTCACCAGTTAAACTGTGACACCAGGTAAAACAGTGTCACCTGGGAAAACAGTGTCACAAGGTAAAACAGTGACACCTGGTAAAACAGTGACACCTGGTAAAACAGTGTCAACTGGTAAAACAGTGTCACCAGGTAAAACAGTGTCACCAGGTCTCACAGTGTCACCAGGTCTCACAGTGTCACCAGGAAAACAGTGTCACCTGGGAAAACAGTGTCGCCAAGTAAAACAGTGACACCTGGTAAAAAAGTGTCACCTGGTAAAACAGGTACCAGACAGTGTCACTAGTAAAACAGTGTCACCTGGTAAAACAGTGTCACCAGGTAAAACAGTGTCACCAGGTAAAACAGTGTCACCAGGTAAAACAGTGTCACCAGGTCTCACAGTGTCACCAGGTCTCACAGTGTGACCTGGTAAAACAGTGACACTAGGTAAAACAGTGTCACCAGGTAAAACAGTGTCACCTGGGAAAACAGTGTCACCAAGTAAAACAGTGTCACCAGGTACGACAGTGTCACCTGGTAAAACAGTGTCACCAGGTAAAACAGTGTCACCGGGTAAAACAGTGTCACAAGGTAAAACAGTGTCACCAGGTAAAACAGTGTCACCTGGTAAAACAGTGTCACAAGGTAAAACAGTGTCACCAGGTAAAACAGTGTCACCAAAACAGTGTCACCTAAAACAGTGTCACCAGGTAACAGTGTCACCTGGTAAAACAGTGTCACCAGGTAAAACAGTGTCACCAGGTAAAACAGTGTCACAAGGTAAAACAGTGTCACCAGGTAAAACAGTGTCACCTGGTAAAACAGTGTCAAAGGTAAAACAGTGTCACCAGGTAAAACAGTGTCACCTGGTAAAACAGTGTCACCAGTGTCAAAACAGTGTCACCTGTGTCACAAGGTAAAACAGTGTCACCTGGTAAAACAGTGTCACCTGGTAAAACAGTGTCACCTGGTAAAACAGTGTCACCAGGTAAAACAGTGACACCAAGGTAAAACAGTGTCACCTGGTAAAACAGTGTCACCAGGTAAAACAGTGACACCAAGGAAAACAGTGTCACCAGGTAAAACAGTGTAACCTGGTAAAACAGTGTAACCTGGTAAAACAGTGTCACCAGGTAAAACAGTGTCACCTGGTAAAACAGTGTAACCTGGTAAAACAGTGTTACCAGGTAAAACAGTGACACCTGGTAAAACAGTGTCACCTGGTAAAACAGTGTCACCTGGTAAAACAGTGTCACCAGGTAAAGCAGTGTCGCCAGATAAAAGAGTGTCACCAGGTAAAACAGTGTCACCAGGTAAAACATTGTCACCTTGTAAAACAGTGTCACCAGGTAAAACAGTGTCACCAGGTAAAACATTGTCACCTTGTAAAACAGTGTCACCAGGCAAAACAGTGTTACCATGTTCAATATTCAGTTTATGCCAACTTCGATTTAATCGAATGTCACGTACAATAGCTGTTGCCTTCACATGTTATACGTACACAATATAGAGGTCTGTGTTACTAGATGATATCATGTTCTCTAATAATGAGGGAGACCAAACTATATGACTTAAATTAATAAAAAAACAACTGCAGACGAGGGGGGGGGGGGGCAGAAAGCTGCACTTGTTAGATATAAGAAAAATTTACTAAAAATATATTAAAACAAGTAACGCTAACACATAACACGCCTCGCCATACCAGTTCAGTCGAGTACACAGCAGTAATTAACGTAAATTGTACTTACAGGGTATATAACAGATTAAGTCAGGTACTGTTGTTACTTATGTTCATCTGGCACCTTGACCCGTGATACGAGGCCATGTTTGGTGTGAGTCACATTTATTCTAGGGATGGTAAAGTACAGTACAGTCCATATAAATAAGCTGTAGTTGCGTTAAAATGGCCGACCAGGTGTTGGCCCGTTCGCCCAATGATAACACAGCATTTATCGATGACGTGAGACAGTCTCCAGTAGTGACTAGATTAATTGTGACTAGATTAATTTACAGTAATAGACGTACTGGTTGTTTATCTGGTCATGGTAACGTTAGCCCGGATAGTGTTAATTCAAGTGTCAAAGGCTTCAACTGTGAATGTAAATTTATATTATTTATTTTCACTGTTCGGGCCCTGTAAAAATAATTCAGTGCAATATTAACACACCGTTAGTTATGAATCTACGAATTTTCATTTTTATTTGAACTCCAGTATCGAATTTCCGGGGATGTAAAAAACAATCCTATTCCGTCAGAGGAGGAATGTTGAGAATTGAATGACGAAAAGTGTATCGGGAAGAAAACACAAACTAATTCGAAGATAAGTCTTGGAAACATCACATCACGACCTGAATCAAGCAAACCCGAGTCCTTAGAAGCTTCACACTGTAATTATCAAACACTATTACAAGGATTACTTAGTCATGCGTCTGAGTATTTTCGAATAATTATTGACAAAACCAATCACCAATAAAAGTCTCACTTGACTCCTCCGTAATGCTCCGGCCAGGGGTTGAAAAAAAATATATTCTCCTGCACTATTTATTATATATTGTAAACAAGAATTAGTATAAAAATTATCATAATTCTACATTGAATCTAATATTGCTACGTAAGATTTTTTTTTAATTATAATTGGAAATATTTGCCTAAAGAAGAAACTGTTATTAATGTTGGTAAATATGTCGTAATAACTTTAATTACTTTGTGATTATTTTTATTTATTCTAATTTTGGGAACCGTATTAATGAATCTTATTACTACCTGAAAAAATTACCTCAATTGGTTTATGGAGGCAATGATGTTTTTTTTTTATTGTGGGGGCGGGGGATGTATGAAGTTACTGACCACTTATTTATAAGTGTTTAGCGTGAGTAGATTTAAAGGAGTGTAAAAGCCTTCTGAACCACCAAAGTTATATATACACCATTTTTTTAGCTGTAAATGTTGAAAAAATAACACCCTCAGAGGTTCACCTTCATATCGTAATTATTATTGTTTTTTTTCAGTCAGGCACAACGTTCAGTCAGGCACAACATTCAGTCAGGCACAACATTTATCCAGATTTCATAATTTCACAAAACAAATTTTCTTCAATTTAGATTTTTTTTCACACTTCGAAAATAGTCCCACACGAAATAAAAATCACTTCATAAGAGATACTGAAATACTTGGAGAGTATATTCAGTAAAACAATTCAACGTTTAAACTGTTTTCTTCCCGATTAAAACAGACCATTGGGACTGATTTGAGATTAGAATAACTTCATGATACTTTTGATTCAATACAACACGGAGCCTCCGGATTAAAAAAAAATAATAATAATAATGAGCCAGAAGCCACTATTGTTGTACACTCTGAGTCGGACAATGCTGCACCAGACTCCCGAAATAATATATGTTTTTAATTTAAACTTTGGGGATCGGTCGTGATGTTTCGTCATTCACCGACAGAGAATCAGAAACATCAATGTTATTCTTCTGTTTGTTATATTTACCTCTTATGTTTATCATAGGTAAGGAATGGGATGAAAAGTCGACCAATTGAATGTATTGAAGGAAATGTATAAATTACCTTGTTGAGATTTCATTTTTATTTTGTTGAATTGTTAAAGGTAATCTGGAGGGACATTTCGTGGTTATATATGTAATTTGACCTTAAGTTACAATATTTTCTTGAGACCTTTCATGCGAGTAACCTCACTTTCACACACACACACACACACACACACACACACACACACACATATAAGCCCTACCTATAATATATACAGACTCATACATAAATACTACTTTGTTGTTTATGACGATCATCCACACATCACCCACCCACGAAGTGATGTTCTGTCAAATACCGAATATTCGTTCCCGGGTTCGATCCCCGGCTGGATGAAACTATAGGAAAGTTTCTTTACTTATCCAACCCATACGACCTCGTGTTGATCACTATAACAATAGCCTCATTCTAATCAATCTAAAAATCACTAACTCGTAGATAACTTTTGTGCTGTAACTGTGCTGAAATTCCTTGCTAATTGACCCTCCTCCCACCCGCGACGTCATTATATGTCGTATGATGTACTGTATACTGTACCATTCATGGCATTTGTATAATTTCAGCTTATGGTTGCAGCATTTGTTAATAAACCGTTAATCACCATTTTTATTATAATTATTCAGTAATAATAATGGTTGTCCCTCGTGTTCAAGGATGGCCAGCCTTAGGGCCGCCGAGGCGTGGATTTGTTTAAAGTGAAGTTGTAGAAGCTGTCGCCAACACAACAACCACAGCCTAGGTTAACGAGCTGTATGACTCAGTGTCCAGGAATATTCCAAGAACACTACCCCCCCCCACACACACCTGCTGCTGTGGTGGTGACGCGACACAGGTGGTCCAGGTGACAGGTGTGTACATCTGTTATAGCAATTTATAAATGAGTGAGCTATAATACTTAATAACCTTAAATGATGGTGAATGATGAAGGAAAATGAGGGAGAATGATGGTGAATGATGGTGAATGATGAAGGAAAATGAGGGAGAATGATGGTGAATGATGAAGGAAAATGAGGGAGAATGATGGTGAATGATGGTGAATGATGAAGGAAAATGAGGGAGAATGATGGTGAATGATGAAGGAAAATGATGGTGAATGATGAAGGAAAATGAGGGAGAATGATGGTGATGGATGATTGAAAATCCAATAGAAGGACAGTGAATGAAGGAGAATGCCGGTGAATAAAGGAGAAGACAGTTAATGACGATGAATGAGGACTGTAGAAGGTCTGTTCTGGATATTAGTGTGCAATTATCGTAACGCCGAAACTCTCAACCTTTTCCTCACCATTCCCACCTTTATGGTTCCAAAGCTGTATCGTAGACCCTTTTATTTTTAATTATTTGCATTTGTTTATTTACATTTGCCAATCTTAATTAATAATTCTTATTTGTTTCCAGATATTTTTATTATTTTTATTTTTTACCGACTTAAGCAGGATCTTATACAGTGTAATGAAAATAAAAATGACATTAATTTGACTGCTTGATAGTAAAATGGAAAAGAGTAAAAGTTGATGATATATTTTGCGTCCATTACATTACACGTAGTTCATAATATGTGGGGGCATCACCAGCAGGTATACAGGAACATTCAGCATATAGTAAAGAAGTGTTTCACAGTAATACTCAGAGTTAAATTTAGCTTTGTAAGGAAACTCACTAAGAAACCCTGTTCTAACCCATAATTCCTTTACTCATTTACTCAGAGGGTTAAAATAACGAAAACGCACACTTTATGTAAACTAAACCTAGGGTAGCATTTTATTAGCCATTGTGGTGTAGTGGTAATTGCTCTCAGTTCTTACTTGGAGGTCCTGGGTTCGAATTCTTGGCTAGGGGAGTTTGTTCTTATAATTAAGTTCACTTACGTGGATTCGTGAATGAGGTATTGTTAATGTACACACACACACACACACGCACACATATATATAAATATATATATATATATATATATATATATATATATATATATATATATATATATATATATATATATATATGGATAGTTGTCTAATAGCGATAACTTCTCTGTATTTCATGTTTTTGGAGACTCCAGTCTGGCCATAGGCTATCAAATAGATCATCATAATACATATAAATGAATAGAAACTCGTTCTAGTTAACCAAACCTAACTTTACCTCGACTACTTTACCTCGACTACTTTACCTCGACTACTTTACCTATAATTTAGGCACCATATGCTGGCAAACAACGTCTTAAATATAATTAATTGTAATTCAATGTTGTAATAAAAATGCAAAATTATCTTTATTTGTCAAAAACGTCAGTTGCTTTTAAAACTTATTCGGCGATTACCCCTATTTCGCGTGACACACACACACACACACACGTGCGCGCGCGCGCATGCATGCACGCACTTTTGGACACAGGAAGAATGAGTTTAATGCTCAGAAAGAAATGTTTCAGCCTAACTCCCACACAGAAGTTATCACACACACACAAGCAAACAATGAGTAGCATCATCCATAAATCACATCTCTCTTCAGGTCAAACTCTAACATTTACCTGACAAGTCAAACGACACAATATAAATGAGGAAATAGAATAAAGATGTTACACCGGCAGGAAAGACGAAGTGATTGATGCCACACATCTATAGAGAGCTACTACCATGTCTTACCACACGTATAAGTCAGAGGCAAAAATCAATATTCATAAAATGTAAATACCTTGACCTCAATTATAATATCAATGAACAATTGTTTATGAACTATACGAAAAGTTAAGGAATATCGAAATATACATACGGGACTAAAAAACGTGAATAAACCTTTAACGTAAAACAACACAAAACTACAATGAAAGTCAAGCAACACCAGACACGCTGGGGTTCAGTTTATATACGAAGAGAGATTCCGTAATGGGCGGGTGTGTGTCACGGCAGCTATTGTGAGCGGTGAGAACGCCAACAATAAGTGCTGGTGCAGGTGACCGAGGTTACGAAGTGCTGAATGAAGAAGCCCGATAATTAAAGGGTCATTTCGAACACAACGACCATTATACCCAGAGATTCCACGATTCAGGAGCCATTTTCTTTAACGACTATATTGCCCTCTAAACCTGACACTTCAAATTATAACGAACTTCCAAGTAATATTATTAATCCATCTTTTGATCTGCACCATAAAGTAATCAAAGTTTTTTATGGTAATTATGAACAAATGATAAACTTCTCTGTATTTCAAACTCCTGAGATCGAGGAAAATATTTTTGAGAAGTTAGTCATTAACATTAACCCTTTAGAAGGCAAAGTAACCCTTAGGTGTTATATTGTGGATAACGCCAGACAGTTTTATTCAACTGAAGGAGCCCTGCCTGCTAAAGGGTCAAGGAGTAAACGAAAAGGTAAGACTGATTTTGAAATTGCTCAACACTAAGACTCATAAATTCTCACTCAGTAGTGGTCAACAATTTAAACTTAAGATAAATTATGGAAAATACATGTCAACGGTAGCTGGTGATCCAGAATGGAAATCAGTTTAATAAACCGAGAGAAGCGTTAATGTGGAGTTGTGAGCTTTAAGAAACTAAACTTGTTTTTTACCTGGAAAGGAAAACATTTAAACAACGTGTGTTACTCTTACTAATGTATAAAATTATATTATGCCAATTAAGTTTAAATGCGACGCAGTCACTCTAAAATTCTCAGGCGGATGGAAAGGTGTATCTCAAACACACTTGTGGCAAAAGAGAAACACGAATGAGTATAATTTGGAAAGACTGGACGAGATAAATGCTGAAAAGGCGAGGTGGTAATACCCTGGCCAGGATTGGTTAGGTTAGGTCAGGTTGGACCCAATGAGATAATAAAAGACCCCAAAAAGATAACTTAAACATGTACCGAGAAATCATTTATATATGTATCTATCTATATATAAAACAACAATGAATATTATATGTAACTCACCATGTCGTAGTTATCAGGTTTTCTTCTTCTTCTTCACTATTGCTGTCATTATAAGTAACATCCTCCTCCCCATCACTGGCGGGGCAGATGTATGCCCTCAACTTAGTGTGTATATTCCAGGCTGCACCTCAAGTGTGTCGTCATACGCATGTAACAATACAAGAGTCTTGAGGGACACAGAGGGTGGAGTATGATGTCAAGTGTTTCTCTTACATCACATTGACCCTAGAGAACGTACCACACACTAGTAGATATGGGGGTCACTTTAAACACTGTAAACACTATGGCAGGTTACTCTCACTGTCTCCTTTCTCTTATATTATGTTAATACTGATGTTAATACTGAAACAACAAACTGTCCGTGTGGTATTAGACTCACTGGCTTTATGTTTACACAAGTTAACCACACACACGAATATGACGTCGCTCTTACGCCATGTTTTTGATAATATAACAACATGTCACGTAACATGGTTTTAGTATCTCACTTACGTTAA